CGACGCCTGCTGACCGCGATGGCCGTCTCGGTCACGGTCGAGGTCGCGGTCGCGGTTACCGTCCTGTTGCTCTGAGTGCGCCCACCAGCTCCTCCACCCGCAACTACGGCCGCCTCCCGTGTCAGGACGCCAACAAACTCTTCCCATTCTTTAGTTGATGGCGCCTCCACCGAGGGGGGCCTCGATCGTCATCCTTCCACCACCGGCCCATCTAGAGTGGGTCTGCCACAAAGAGCCGACCACATTGTCGCCGTACTCGACACGCGCCCCTTACCCCAGCAATGTGCCGTCCAGTTCTTTTGTTCCTTTTCTTTTCTTTTTTGGAACGATCGCGGATCTTGCAGCAGCAGGGCCAAAACAGAATTGCCTTGTGTGAATTGGGGAAACAAGTCGTCTGATTGTTCTTTTCATGCGCCACACTTACCGATAACTGTTTGGGTGTTTGGAAGACGTGCCTTTTCCACAATTATTATACTATTTGGGAGACCTCTGAAGCGGTATGGAAGGGAGTGAAAAGAATCAAATCAAAATGGGTATTAGAAAAGAATAAGGCAGTTCAACAAAGACAACCTTCCCAACACCCCATAACCATTCCGCTCCCCAAGGACGGCGACACCAAACACGACGAAAGGATCCAGGACCTTCGCCGCGATTTCGACTCCGTCGTACAGCTACTGCAGACAGATGAGAGAGAGCGCATCAAGTCACAATTCAACGAGAATCCTCGCTTGTCACAGTGTTGGGTATTGAGTGGGGAAAATGGACTGGCGAAAGAGGCAAAGTCGCAGCCACGCTCTTTGAGGCGGCTGCAGCGTAAGACTGAAACTTGGATGGTTGGTGATGTTGTGTGTGACGCATGGTGCGGGCTCCGAGGACTGAAAGGACGGCGAACGTTCAAGAAGGTAAGTAACACGGGGGACAAAGGGATCACGACGGCTCCCTTCGCAAGGAGGACCAGTGGAAACAGCGGGAGCTGCAGAAACAACGAGTTGTGGACACGTTTTGACAAGTATACAGCGATTGATCGTGGTGGACAGGACACGGTTGCATTTGCTTTGGAAATAACTGCCCAATTCCGTGAGACGCAGACTGTCTTCAACCACACAGTTCTTTGTCAGCAGTGATATGTCCCTTCCTCACTTACGGAGACAGGCCTGTCTGAAGGCCTTTCCATTCCCACTTATGTCCCGACAAAAACAGTTGTTGGATGGTGGCACACTTTGTCTACAGAAAAATCCCAATATGGTTGTTTTCCGGAGACAAGAGGACTCCCAAACACTGGACCCCAGACTGACTCTTCTCTTCAATTAAAGCTGCAGAAGGAGAAAAGCTTGTCTCTGAACAAGACATGTCTCTTTTTGGGGTGAAACATTTTGTTGCGAGGAAAAAAAGGGAACAAATGTGCCGCCCCACTCCCTGCACCGACGGTAATTCTCGCATGACCCTTTTCTTCCTTTCCTTGTTGCTTGCACCAAATTGAGAAAAATCCCCCAGACAGACCGACAGAAGCACCACACCACCACCCACCACCCACCAATCACCACAAACCCGACCCGACGACGCCGGGAAGCAGCGGGAGCAGCGGGGCCTCAACTATCCCCCTATCATATTCACACCACCAGACCCACCCACCCAACCAAAATATCGACGAGAGCAATGCAGATGATGGCCACGACGACGACGACGACGACAGCCTCAGCACCCTCCTCCTCCTCCTCCTTGCCACTACTGCCAGCAGAAGCCGGCGCAGCCTCGAACGATGCTGCGGAGGCGGCCTTCGCGGCAACTCTGCCGCAGCAGCAGCAGCTCGACGCTGCCGCCATCTCAAGATCTGCCATCCAGGGGAACTATGAAACGGTTTGCCAACCACTCCCACACACACACACGACACATTCACAAGCACGTGTCCCACCCCCCCACACCCGCCAACCTCTACCCCCCACAACAACGTACCCACATGGCTGAACGACGACACACCTTGTTACCCCCCAGACGTTCGACAGCAACTACGAGCTCTTCAAGCTCCTCTACGACGGCTTGCTCGCGCACGCACCGCTCCCGGCCATCTTCGACGCCGCCGCCCGCGAATCCAGAACCGTCGGCGTGCTCGACGCGTCGGGATCCTCAATGTCCTGGGCCGTCGAGTTTGCAAAGGCGTACCCGTGCGCCGAGGTTGTTGTGTTGGTGAGTCGCGGTTTGGTTGGAATGGGGGGTGGGGGGCAAGAGAGGGGTGGGTCCTTTGGTGGAGGAGGCAATGCAGACTGTTTGTCTTTTTGCCGGGCCAGCGGTTGAACGTTGGGAAGAATGCAAAACTGACACCCCGCCGTGTCTTTCCCCCACACAAGAACCCGATCACCACAAGGGAGGATGCTCCCACAAACGTCACAATAGCCCGTGGCCCCGCGCAGAACATGCCATGTAACAATTCGACCGGCGTTCCCTTCCTTCTTGTCGTTCGTCATCAACTGCACCTCTAACAGGCAAACGCATTGCCGCCCTTCACGCAAAACGCAACACGCCACCCACCCACACACACACACACACACACACACCCAAAAAACCAAACATTCTCAAGTCCCTGACAAACATTTCGATCTTCTCCACTCCTTCGGGGTCTTGATTGCACAGCCCGCCAAGGAAACGAACAGCATCTTGACAGAGTTCAAGCGCGTCGTTCGCCCCGGCGGATTCGTCGAGCTCTACGAGCCTTACGTCATCATACAGCGATGCGGGCCGTTTGGGAGGTCGCTCAACGATGCTGGTACTATATTTTTTGCTTTTTACGTTCTTTGTTTCAAACTTCACGAAAGGAGGAGCCTCCTTTGTGGTTCACGCAAGCGCCTTTCTCACCCACTACAATTTTCCAAAACCACCCAGCCGTCGCCGTTTTTGATATTCTGAAAGCAAAGGCACGTATCGCTCTCGATCTGGACGTTCTGCTGTCCAGCCATGGTTTGGGCATTGTCGACGAGGGAAACCGCGCCATCACTGTGAGTCACTTTCACCTGCAGCCTTCCCGGCACTCTCTTGACTTGCAGACAAAAAAAAACAAACAAAAACAGATCGTCCCTTCAGACCCGCAGCTCAGTGACGCCTGCTACCAACACCTTCGAACCATTCTCCTCGCTATGGGACCACTCCTTGCTGCGCTGGGTCTGTTCAGCGAAGACGCACTCAGGGACACTATGGACCGCGCGCGCGACGAGTTCCAGGAGTTGCAGAGCTACCACAATTGGCTCTACGCCGTCGGCCAGGTTGCGTGATCAAGCTGGGCGGCAGACCCCCAGTTTCACCCCTTCCCCCTGAGCGGCGTCGCTTTGTCGGGCTGCATGCTAAACATAACCGACACCCGAATCGAAGCACCCCATTTTTGCACATTCATTCAGAAGGAAAAAAAAAAAAAAGTTCTGTGTAATTCTTTTCTTCTCGTTCTATTTTTTTGGAAAGGAATCTTACCCCCCTCCCGATCCCTCGCCCCACCTCTCGCGCGACTGTGATAAATTTCTTGTGAATTTTTGTTGTTTTTTTTTTGTTCCTATTCTACAGATTTTCCCGTCCTTCTCCTTCGTGGCATCATACTTTGTTCTATCTTTTCCCCTTTTGTTTTTTCTTCTTTGCAGTGCAATGACGTCGTCGACATCGTACGGAGAAAAAGCGTTCGCTTCCATCGTACCCAGGTTTTAGTTCCCAGATTGCCACCAATTTTTTCGGCAGTGCTCTAAGACTACATCATTCCTTTTATTTCACCCGTTTTTTTTTTTAACTCCCAGCGGCCGTGCCCCGATTTTTCCTTCTTCGCGCATTCCCGGACTGGGACTAGAGTTGAGAGTTTCTGTGGCGAAAGCCGTGGAGTTGCCTGGTTGCAGATTTGCAGAGTTGCCAGTGGGGTTGAGTTGCCAAGTTGCAGAGTCTGAGAGTCTGAAAGTCAGAGAGTAGCGTAGTCATGGTCCCCTGGAGTGCACTCCCTGAACTCTTTGCTCTGCTCTGCCACTCTGCTACTCTGCTGCAACTCTGCAACTCTGCAACTCTACGTTCAGTTGAAGAGTCATGACAAACACAAGATGAGGACAGTCTCTCCTGTAAACAGTCTACTCTGAGTGAGGGAGTGGAAGGAGTGAATAAAGTGGAGATGTCTGTTTGTGGGTGGGTCCTTCTCCCCAACTTGGAAAGAAAGAGAAAAAAACTCTGTTATGAATAATTGATACATAATGATGACAAACATGCTGTAATAGTCGCAAGGGGGGTGTGACTGGCACAGGGTAAAAACCTCTCCTATATTATCTGCTGAGCAGAGGAGGAAGAAAACTGTTTACACTGGGTTTCCGTTCCACTTAAAACTCAGAGTATTTGTCAACAGTGCAAGCCAGCGCCCAGGTCTGCATTGGCAGTGGCTTGCTCTCCCCATGGGCATCGTGTAGAACAATAAGTGACAGTCACAATAGGTTCAGGTCTGTCTTGTGCCTCTTGCTGCTAACCAGTCAGTATCGCCTAACATCTCCAGGGTAAGTCTGACCTGTCCCAGTCAGTATAGTGGCTAGTATCACCCCCTGAAACAGGGTAGACCCAGGTTCAATTCCCGGACTGGGAGCAGCAGCAGCTGCAGGACGCCGACTCATGCATGCTGGACACTCGCTGGGGCAGCGTGGAATAAAGCATCTGCCTATCATCTCAGTTTCCTGTAATGGCCCTGCCCTGCCCTTCTTTGAGCAAACCCCACCAAAGTCACAGAATGCCAACATGAACTGACATATTTGAGGAGGTTCAAAGGACTGCGGTAGGTTGCACCCAATGAGTGGAGACACACCTGCAATACGTGCAATGGCCAACAACGCTCAGCCCACAGTTTGCCTTTTGAAAAAAGAGCCAAATTTGTACAAACTTGCAAACTAGGGAATGAAGTGTGTGCAACTGTTGGGATTCACAAGCAGTAGCACAACATGTGCAGCAAGACCAAAGTGCAGTTGCCAGAGTAGACCAGAAGCAGATGGCTGCATGTCCATGGGCAGATGGCCAAGTCAGCCTAAGTCACCAGATTACAGCTCTGGTCTCCCCAGAGGCGTGGGTTTGCATCCCACTCTGCTCAATTGCGCAATGCACATTTAGCCCAGCAGCTGGCAATCATTGCCACCAATAAGTAGTACTGGCATCTCCCACTTGAGGGATCTCTGACTGTTGGATTTTGCTGTAAACCCCCCTCTGCCAGACACTTAGCTAGATTTGATTCAAGCATATCATGCCCTGATGCACCCTTCCCATGGTTCCCAGTCTATGCCATCATCTCAAAACTAGAATAATTAGAGAACTGCTGCCAAGGCGTGAAGTGTAACACAGAACCTTGCTGATAAGTTGGCAAATTTGGAAAGGTGTTGGTCTCTGACCCTTTCTGCACAGGCTGGGTTCTATGTGAAACAAGAACAGAGACACCTTCCGTCATAGCAGAGGGGCAGAGGGAGCATTAGCCCCAGGTTCCATTCCTTGTCACCAGGCAGTGCATCCCACGCCAATGATTCCGTGAGGTGCGAGGGGGAGAATGGTGGTGTGTATTATAAGGATAGAAAAGATTGCTTTCGTTTGACAGCTGCCCTTTATCTTTGCTACTCATGAAGAACTAGCCCAACAGAGAATCTTCTACCACTTGTACTGATGCGTGATGCCTTGGGTTGCAGTGAGTGTTGAGCATGTAGAAGCAGCCAGTTGGCGCAGCAGCCCAGCACCCTGATGGACTCTAAGACAGTTTTCTTTGGTTTGGAGTTTACAGTCAACCATGGACATGAGGGGGGTATATATCAGTGATAGATAGCTCGCTTTGCATGCCAGATGCCGTGGGTTTGAGCCCCACTACCTCCATTGCTGGAGTAGGGTGTCATTATGTCTCCCAGCAACGCCACCTGAAAGAATTTGTTGGGGTGGATTGTCTATGGGTCGTGCTGCTGTGGAGATGGAGGTAGCCCAGCTGGTGGCCACATGCCATGCTCCAAGAAAGAATTCCTTTGCCCAGAACCTTCTGCTATGGCTACCTTCATGATTAAATTGGGACAATTGCTGCATAAAACGCAGTTGTATGCCTTGTAGGTCCACTTGGACTATAGCGTCTGTCTAAATTGACCATGGAGATCTCACACAACCAGAGGGCTGCTTACAACAATGAACAATATCAAAAAGAGTACCATCAGGAGACAGAGCCTGTCTCTTTTGCGCAGGAAAACTGGGAATCACAATGGCTAACACTTATTTCAACTTTTGACTTGGCTTGGGAAACAAAAGTGTGCATACCCTGCTGCAAGCCCTGTACCTTGAATTCAATTCATGGCTAAGGACAGGAGATCAGTACCCTGGTGGACATGTGTGTTTTGTGTGTTTCTGGGTGTTCCTGTTCCTGAGCTTGAAGAGGTTGAAAATCCCTAGTATGAATAAGTGAGACAGGATTATAATGATGCCTTGCACACTGCAATGTCGCTAGGCGAGGGTGACTGGTGTGGGGGGAAATACCTCTCCTAAAATTATTTCTTGCCAGAGGAGGAGAACAAGTGGTTTCAGTGGTTTTCCTTTCCACTTTACTCAGAAATATTTATCAACAGCACGAGCCAGCGCCTGGGTCTGCACCAGCAATGGCTCTCTCTCAGCAAGGGGATTGTGCAGAGTGATAACTGACGGTCACACTGGGATCAGGTCTGTCTTTTACCTCTTGCTACTAGCTCCACCTAACTTTAGGACTGTGGTTGGATGTCTCAGGACGCTTGGCTTCTGTTTGGCTGTCTCATGACACAGCAGTTCACTCCAGGTGAGGGCTTTCTGCCAACAGTCGCGTAGCATAGAGCAATAATACAGTTACAGTGCTCTGCTGTCCCAGTGGACAACGTGGCTGAGCGGTTAAGGCGACAGACTCGAAATCTGTTACTCTTTGGGTGCGCAGGTTCGAGTCCTGCTGTTGTCTTTGGAGGGCATTTAAAACAGTGCAAGAGCGGCCTGGCTGTTACCTCCATTGCCATTAGGGGTCCTGAATTTTGCCACAGGTGCATGGTCGTTCTCCAATAATTGGAGGCTGCTGGAAGTAACTAAGGATCGAAATTGATATCTTGATACCCAAGAAATATCTCATAGATCACATCACAAAAATCCTTATGTGATAGCAATATGTGAAAAAACTGCAGAGACTCTCCCCGGTGACAATAGCAATATTCTGATATTTATTGGCATCAAGTCTACTTTCATTTGTTCTGGAGGAAATCAAATCTACAACCTGATATCAATATAGATAGCCAGGTAAATAGCCACTGGACCAAGCCATACAACACCAATATGGGTCCAAATGTCACTATATTCTATTGATTTAGATCCTTAGAAATGACCGCAATACAACCAGCAAAAAAAACCTGTGGTTTGCCAGTTGCTGGCTGCCAGTGTGAGGATCCATATTGCGGCAGTGGCGTTTGGTGCCTGCTAGGGTTGTAGATGCAACCCAAAAGCTTTGGGTGGCCTATGACATTTCTAATCTCATGGGTCAGTAGTTAGCTGGGGTTTTACAAGCGCTCCCTGATATAATTATTGACAATTACCAACATAGTAGGCCCACCACCATGAAAATTCTAATTTTAAACTTTCCCACAATTTATACTGCATAACAGCAAACCTTTGTCCTGTCCTCTGCATCATAAAAGAGCTTCTTGTGTTCTTTATGCTGACTGGGACACAGCATAGAGGACACACCCCTTTTCTTTCCTGTTTAGTTTTTGTTGCTTTGGTTGATGTCGCTCCCTTTTACCATTCTTCCATCCCCTTTCTGTGCAATGACGTGTAGAGACATGAGGGCAAAATTATTTACAGAGATATCCTGAAAATTTTGGTGAGTGAGACAGGGCCAGAGACTGTCAGCTGAACAATTGCCAGAAATAACAAAATGCTGACAAACTAGTCATTTCTTTGTGTTGGCAGGTCAGTCTGCTGTCCAGTCACTGACAGGAGTATTGATTTCAACTTTGCAAGTGGGTCACTCACCAAGGTTTTCAGGATATTGCAGTTACCAGATAGAGAAATGAGCAGAGTGGGATTCGAACCCACACCTCTCTCGAGACTACGACCTGAACGTAGCGCCTTGGACCGCTCGGCCATCTGCCCCCATCCTCACACATCCCCCTTTTGATAATAGTGTGCACTTAGCCGCTCATCAAGGCAGTGTATCTATGAAGCATAATGGATACCGAGAAGGAATTCAATCAGAGTCTTTCCCCAGTACGATATTTACACAATGGCAACTACAACAACATTGTCCTAATTTCAAATAATGCAGCGGGGCAGGCTAAAGACAGCCTTCTTGGCTCAGTTGGCAGAGCGTCTCCCTAGTACCAGGAGTGAATCCTGACGGCAGGAGAAGGTCACCAGTTCGATTCTGGTAGAAGGCATGGCTGGCAGGAACTGGGCCTGTTCTATCCCATTATTGAGCCTTACTGGCAGGGAGCGCTTTCTGCATTGATCTGCATTTCTGGGTTATTTTCCAATCAATCTGAAACCAGCCAGGAAGGAGGCTAAGGCTGGCTGGATTCAGACCAGATACTAAGAGCTCTGTATCCAAGAATACACACAGACATGGTTTTCTCATATCTGTTTAAAGACCCAGATATCTGGTGGAGGGCGGATGTCTGGACTTTGTCAGCGGATTGGGCAGATATTTGGTCTTTTTGCATATCAGTGACTGGGAATTATCTGTGAGGCAGGTGTGGGCAGTAACCATATCTGTCCACCATATCCGCCAGAGGTTTGGAGCAGATCCAGCAGAGATCCGGCAGAGGTCCAGTCTCCACTTTCTCAGATGCCAGCCTTAAAGGAAGCTGTTCTGCTTTTTCTTTGACAAATTACCAGACACAGGATCCCAATGCTGCATTTGTATTGTGGCTAGAACGCCTCGTTGTGGCTGAGGAAACAGCGGTTCGATTCCACCATGTAGCAATCAGCTACTTGTGGCGGCACAGGTTTTTCAGCTTTCACATGTTTGATGGGATCATGGGTAGCTCACAGAGCCTTGGGGAATAGGTGCTTGCCAGTAGAGCCAGGCCACCCATCAGGCCCAACCACCTTGATCTTAAGAGCTTGATGTTCTTGTTGGTGAAGTTGTTGTTGAAGCTGGTGCTGCTGGTGAAGGACTTGTTCTTGAAGTTGGTGTGTCTGTCTTGAAAGGGCTTGCAATTGGTCCATCAAGGCTTGGAAGGCAGTTGCATCAGAGAAGGTGTTGTTTGGGTCAGACATGATGGCAGAGAGTAGTAGGAGAGGGTGAAGTGAATTATGATGTCAGGAACAGGGCAGGACAGGACAAGGCAGACAAGGAACTGAGAGGAGTGATGATTGTATTGGAAACAATAATTCACTTGAGGAATGGGACAGGTCCCCCATCCCCCTTTTATACCTTTTGAGAGTCTTCCTTGTCAAGACTCAAAGAAAGTTCCAGAAAGAGCAATTAGTAATACAATGATACCAATGATACCAATGACAACAACAAGACAAGTCAGGAAAGCAAAGAAGGTTCCAGAAGGTTCCACAAGGTTCCATGAAGGAATGTTCTAGAATGTTCCAGAAGGTTCCAGAGGGTGATTCATAACATCATCTCCCCCTTTTAGGCCTCTTCTGCAACTTGGTGGGGTACCTGGTCTTGAACTTGAGCAGAAGGTCTTGGCAGTGAGTGAGGTTTGACTCAGGTTCCCAGGTGTTTTCAGCATCTGAGTAACCTTTCCACTTAACAAGGAACTTGAGTGTCCTTCCAAACCACTTGGCATCCAAGATTTGTTCAACCTCAAATTCCTCTTCACCTTCTACCTCAACTGGAGGAGGAGGAGGAACAACTCTGCCTGGAATGGAATTGGCCACAAACTTCTCCAAAAGGCTGACATGGAAGACTGGGTGGATCTTCATGGATGCAGGGAGATCCAGCTTGAAGGTGACTGGATTGATTTGCTCCAAGATCTTGAAAGGTCCCAACTTGAGGTTGTCTAGCTTGGGACTTGGTCTTTTGGTCTGCAAGTTCTTCCTCAGAAGCCAAACTTGCTGACCCACAGCAAGGTCATGGCCCATTCTGTGAGTGTTGGCGAATCTTGA